TTTGGGGTTTTGTTGTTGGGGGGTTTCTTATTGTTTCCATGGTGCTAGTCCTTGCCCCAGCCAAGCAAGGACTTGGGCAAGGACACGACCCTTTTCCAGCCTGGCCTGGTGGTGGAAAGGGAATGGGTCAGGGCTGGCCTGGATATGACCCAGCAGCGCAGTGGGGATTGGGGTGGGAATGCAGATGGCACTGGGGATGGGGATGGAGATGAGGATGGTGGTAGGGATGGGGATGGTGGTAGGGATGGGGATGGTGGGGCGGAGTGGTGGGGATGTGGATGAGAATGGGACAGGGGATGGAGATGAGGATGGTGGTGGGGATGGGGATGGTGGTGGGGAGGGACATGGCACTGGGGATGAGGATAGTGGGGGGGGGCTAAGGATGGCTGTACAGTGCTGTTGGGATGGGAAAGGGGATGGGATGGCTGTAGGGTGCTGTTGGGATGAGGATGGGGGTGGGGATGGCGGTAGGGACGGGGATGGCGGTGTGATGGGGATGGCGGTGCGATGAGGATGGCCGCGGGGATGGCGGTGCGATGGGGATGGCGGTGAGATGGGGATGGCGGTGCGATGGGGATGGCGGTGAGATGGGGATGGCGGTGCGACGGGGATGCGCGGATGGCGGTAGGGATGGGGATGGCGGTGTGATGGGGATGGCGGTGCGATGGGATGCGGTGCGAGCGCGGGATGGCGGTTGCGATGGGGCATGGCCGGGGGATGCGGTGAGATGGGGATGGCGTTGCGGACGGGGGGTTGGCGGTGAGATGGGGAATGGCGGTGCGACGGGGATGGCGGTGCGATGGGGATGGGCGCGCGGGTGATGGCGGTAGGGACTGGGGATGACGGGTAGGCGGATGGGGATGGGGGTAAGGATGGCGGATGGTGGTGCGCTGGGGATGGCCGCGGGATGGCAGTGCCCGCTACAGCGCCGTCCGCCGGCCATGGCCGTGCCGCCGGGGCACAGCCGCCGCGGTAGCGCCCTCCCGCCCCGGTGGCCGCGTGACCGCGGGCCGATCATTCCAGGGCGGCCCCGGCTCCCGATTTGAAAATAGCGGGAGCGGCTCCTGGTGCTGCTGTGCGCGCTGGCCCGGCGGCGGGCGGGGGGCGGCAAGGCGCGACGGCTCCGGCTCCGGCAGCGGGACGCGGCGGCGGCGGCGGCGGCTGGGACGGGCCGCAGCAGGCCGGGCCTGGCTCCGCACTACTACAGCCAGCGGCAGAAACGGCTCATGACGGTGATGACGGTGACCGGGCCGCGGCCGGGGATGGGCGGACCGGAGGGACGTGGGGACACGGGGGCACGGAGGATGGGGGGATGCGGGGGACACGTGGGGACTCAGAGGGTGAGGGAATTGTGGAGACTGTGGGGAGATTGTGGGGACTCAGAGGATGGGGGGGTCACGGGGGATGTACGGAGGTCACGGAGACACAAAGGATGAGGGGATATGGGGGAACAGGGACACAAAATATGGGGTGTCACAGGGGATACACTGAGGACATGGGGACACAAAGGATGGGGAATGTGGGGGACACGGAGTGGTCACAGAGACGTGCAGGATGGGGGGACACACAGTGGTCACAGGGACACAAAGGGTGGGGGAATACAGGGAGGTCGTGGGGACACAAAGGATGGGGGAATTCAGGGAGATCGTGGGGACTCAGAGGATGGGGGGTCACAGGGGATGTACGGAGGTCATGGAGACACAAAGGATGAGGAGACATGGGGGACAGGCAGTGGTCACAGGGACACAAAGTATGGGGATGTCACGGGGGTTACACTGAGGACCTGGGGACACAAAGGATGGGGATATGGGGGCTACGGAATGGTCACGGAGACACGCAGGATGGGAGGATGAGGGGACACACGGTGGTCACAGGGACACAAAGGATGGGGGGATATGGGGACATGTGGAGGTCATAGGGATAAGGGGGATGGGGGATTTGGGAGACACACAAAGGTCACATAGGAAGGGGGATGTGTGAGACACGGAACACATGGACAGGAGGGATGTGGGGCACAAGGGTACACAGGTCACAGAGACACACAAAATGGGGAGCAGGGGGTGCAGGACACAAAGTACAGGGGTGGGAAGGATGGGGAGCACGGGGACATCACAAGTGAGACACAAAGGGTGGGGGACATATGAGACCCAAAACATGGGATGTGGGACTGAAAGGACACATGGACACAGATCACAAAGGGTGGGGAATGCAGGGGCTCTGTGGGACACAAAGACAGGGACACAAAGGATGGGGGGACATGAGGGACAGAGGACTTGAAGGACACGGGACATGATCCTGGACACAGAGGATGGGGGATGCAGAGGATATGGAGACATGAAGGAGGGGTGACATCAAAGGTGGGGGACACAAAGGATGGGGATACAAAAGGCCTGGGTATACAAGTGATACAGGGCAGCAAGGACAAGCTTAGGAGGGGGAACATGGAGGACCCACTGCCCTTGGTAGTGGCCAAGGAAAGAGAAAAAACCTCTTTTCAGCTTAAAGTTGTTTTTAGAATTTAATAACAGAAAAACAATTCCTGTGGAGGGACCAGGAGCTCCCCTTTCCAAATCATGGCTTCCACTTCTGAGGGGTGCTCACTCCCCCTTCCAATTCGGGGCTGAGCCCACAGTTCCCTTGGTCACAGGAAATCCAGGAACGGTAGTTAAAATATAATGGTTAAAATATAATTTGGGGAGTGGGCACCCCAAAAAGGGACTTTTTCAGAAAGGTCCTTGTCTGCAGTGCTTGGGTGTCTTGCCCAGGGTCACAACTACTGCCTGATGGGTTTGCAGTGGGGTTTCTGAGGAAGATTTGACCCACTGTTTGTCTGCTTGGAACCACAGGCCACCTCGCACCGGCTCACCCCCTGCCTTGAGCAGGTCTCTTGAGCTGGGTGGTCTTCAGAGGGGCATCCTGGTGAGGTGCAGGGTGGGGATGGGGAGGTGCCCTCTCACCCCCCTCTTGTGACCCCCTGCAGCTCCTGATCGCTCACCGGAGGAGAACCAGCTGCTGCTTCTACCCGCGTGCCTGGCCCAGCCTCAGGAGCTCGGACTGGTGGACGGGTGGTCCTGAGAGAGTTTGGCCCAGACTGGTCTGGAGAAGTTCAGGGTATGTCCAAGAAGACCTTTCTTCTACGTCTCAACCAGCTGCGCCCGGGCTGGCCCCGCCACACGCGCCCACTTCCCACCCCACCCTGCCCTGGAGAAGGAGGGTGGCCGTGGCCCTGTGCACCTGGCCACCAACGTGGGGTACTCAGGACCCTGAGCCCGCTCTTCGGGCGTGGGCCCTCCACGGTGCAGAGCTGTGTGAGGGGTGAGCTTACGACGTGTGCTGGTGCTGATAGCGCTCTACCTGCGGCTGCCCAGCGAGAAGGAGCTGGAGAACATGGTGCGGATCTTCCGCACGCGCTGGGGCTTCCCCCACTGCATCGGGGCGCTGGACAGCCTGCACATCCCCATCCACCCGCCCCTGCGCCTCGCCAGCGACTACTGCAACGGCCAGGGCTGGCACTCCATCCTCACACAGGCCACCGTGGACGGGCTGGGGCAGTTCTGGGACGTGTCCACCGCCTTCCCGGGCAGCATGGAGAACAGCGCGGTGCTGGAGAGCTCCAGCCTGTGGGTGCTGGCCAAGGAGGGCCGGCTGTGCCCCAACCCTCCCAAGCACTTCATGGGGAAGGCGCAGAAGTACGTGCTGCTGGGTGATGCCACCTACCCCCTGCAGGACTGGATCCTCAAGCCCTACCAGGAGGACGAGAACCTCACCCAGCGCCAGCTGCAGTTCAACTACCGCCTGAGGCGGGCGCACAGCGTCATCGAGAACGCCTTCTTGCGCCTCAAGGCGCGCTGGCAGATCCTCCTCAAGTGTGATGACTGCAGCCTGGAGCTGCTGCCCACCCTGGGCCTGGCCTGCTGCATCCTGCACAACGTCTGCGGAGGCCCACGACGAACCCTGCAACGGAGGAGCTGGCTGGTAGGGGCCGAGCCCACCGAGCTGCCCAAGCCCTGCCAGCCCGCGCCGGCTGCCATGGAGGACAACGGGGCCGAGCAAGTGCGGGAGCTGATGTGCCAGTACTTCGAGAGCTGCGGGGAGGGCTGATGGGGCCACCCAGCACATCCCTGCACATCCCTGCTCCAAGACTCTGGCAAACATTGGCCCAGCGGTGCCAGGACTGCAGCCTGACCAGCTGCACCATCCGGGCCTGGGGCAGGGAGGGGTGGCCGTGTCATGCTCGTGCCGGGTTTGCTGTGCGGGTTTCAGGCAGCGGAATGTATTTTGTGCCCTTGCTCTCTCTGCCAGGATCTGAGTGGTGTGGTGTGTGCTGTGGGAGCAAAGTGGGGATCGTGGCTGAGCGGACGGGGCAATGGGGATCTCCCTCTCCTCTGTCCCGAGGGCCCTCTGTCAGGGCCGAAACCAGCAGGAGCCTTGAAATGAGGCAAAACTCCTGTGAAGGTTCGAAACCTGCTGCGTAAACACACCTGGGAGGGGAAGGGGAGGAAGAGGCACAGCAGTGACTTGCCAAGGGAATGAAACTGCACCCACGAACTCCTGCACGTGCTACCCTGGGGCAAGTGGGGTGGGCTGCCCAGCCTGGCACCCCCCAGCTCCCCTCAGGGTGGGGTTTGCCCAGCCTGGCACCCCCAGCCTCTCTCCAGAAGGGTTTGCCCACCCTGGCAGCCCCTGATCCCTCCCTGGAAGGGTTTTCTCCAGCCTGGCACCCTCTGGCCCCTCTCTGGAGGGATTTACCCACCCTAGTCTGTCTCAGGTGGGCCCTGTGCCACAGCCTGGCCCCCTCTCTAGAGAGCTTTTGCACAGGCTCGCACCCCCACCCTCTCTGGGAGGATTTACCCCTCCTGCTCCCTCTCTGGCTTTGCCCAGCTGGAGCACCCCCGGCCCTCTCCCAGAGGGGTCCCGTGTCCCCTGCCCGGCTCCTCTTCCCCCCCCCACACCGCTCCCGATATCCCGGTTCCCGCCGGGCCGTTCCCGCCTCCCGGGAAATGGCGGCGCTGGGGGAGGCAGCGCCCCCTGGTGGCCGGGGAGCCAGCGCTCCCTCCCGCGCCGTGCTGCGCACGCGCCTTCGCTCGGTCACGTGACGGACCGGCAACATGGCGGCGCGCGGTGAGTGTGGCACCGGCACGGCCGGAACCTCCCGGACCCCCCTGGCACATCCTGGAACGCCCCAGTCCCTCTGATCTCCTTGGTCACCCCGGTACACCTCCCCCGGCACCATCCAGGAACCCCCCCAGTCCCTCCGCGTCCTCTCTTGGTTCACCCCGGACCCACCGGGCACCCTCCAGGAACCCCCCAGTCCGTCTGTTTCCCGCGTGACCATTCTGTGTCTCCCTTTCGGTCACTGTTCCCTCGTGGCACCGGCCGGGGCGATCGCGGCAGGGGATTCAACGTTCCGTCCCCGGGTACTCTGTGACCCGGGTCGGGCGCTCTCGTGTAGGCTCAGCCCGGCCCCGGGGTCCCGATTCACCGGGACCCGGTGCGCGCGGGCTCCGTGACTCACTCCCTTTACCCGCGCGCCGGGACTGGTACCGCAGGAGCCCCGCAGCGCACTTTCGTGTGACCGGACCGTGCCCCGCCATGGGGACGGAGGCAGGACTGGGAGGCCATCGCCGCGGGCTGCTGACGCCGGCGCAGCCTCTGCGCGCTTTCCGGCCGAGCTCTTCACTCCTGAGAACCTGGGTGGCCCACGCCGTGCGCTGGATCGGCTCGCGCCTTCGGGGATGGCTCGGCGCTGCTGAAGCACGAGCTGGCCTTCTGCCTGGGCCAGATGCAGGATGAGTCCGCCATCCCCGTGCTCATCCAGGTGCTGGAGGACACGGCACAGGAGCCCATGGTCAGGCACGAAGCAGGTGCGGCAGCTTCTGTGGCTCTGGGGTGGGGAAGGGCTGGCAAGTGGGGCTTGGGGGTGCTTCCCCCCCTGTACTGAGAAGCTCATGGGGGCCTGGACCAGCTTGGCTGTCAGTCCCTGAGTCATGGAATGCCTCACCACATCCTCTGGCCAGGCCTGATTGGACTGGTTGGCCGAGCCCTCCTGTTCCACAGGAGGCTCCCTCTTGGCCAGGCTCCCTCCTGCTGTGTTTGTCCCATTTGGAATTGGTCAGTCAGGCCTGTGTCCACACTTGTCCCATTTGGAATTGGTCAGTCAGGCCTGTGTCCACATTTGTCCCATTTGGGATCTGTCAGTCAGGCCTGTGTCCATGTTTGTCCCATTTGGGATCTGTCAGTCAGGCCTGTGTCCATGTTTGTCCCATTTGGGATCTGTCAGTCAGGCCTGTGTCCATGTTTGTCCCATTTGGGATCTGTCAGTCAGGCCTGTGTCCATGTTTGTCCCATTTGGGATCTGTCAGTCAGGCCTGTGTCCTCATTTGTCCTGTTTGGGATCAGTTGTTCATATTTCAGAGGAGGGCAAGGCTTTGCCAGAGGACACAGGAGGGTCCTCCTCATAGAGACACCCCAATCCTGTCCTTCATTCTTTCAGGTGAAGCCCTGGGCGCTATTGGGAACCCCAAGGTGCTGGATATCCTGAGACGCTATTCCGAGGACCCTGTGGTTGAGGTGAGGATCCTGGGGGATCATTTCCTGTGGGATGCAGCACTGCTGGTCTGGAAGGGTGAGGCAGGTCCCTCCTGGACAGCCCCTGCCCCTGGGTGGTGCCATCCTGCTGTGTGCTGGGGCCCTCCCAGTGCTGTCCCACAGCCAGAGCCGTGTCCCCGTCCCTCAGGTGGCAGAGACGTGCCAGTTGGCTGTGAGGAGGCTGGAGTGGCTGCAGGAGAACAAGGAGAAGCCAGGCACCAGCCCGTACCTCTCCGTGGATCCTGCTCCCCCCGCCGAGGAGACGGACGTTGCCAAACTCCGGGAGACCCTCCTGGACGAGTCCCGGGAGCTGTTCGAGCGGTACCGCGCCATGTTCGCCCTGCGGAACCTGGGGGGCCAGGAGGCTGTGCTGGCACTGGCCGAAGGTGAGGGGCTGTCCTTGCTGGGAGTCTGTCCAGGTTAATCTGGGATGAGCCCTTCCCGAGTCCAGGGCTGCCAGAGCTGCTCTCACATGTTTGTGTCCAGAGCTGCTGCCACCCTCCAGACCCCCTTCCCTAAAGGGTTGGGGTGGGAGGGCACAGGCTGTGATGATGGCCTGGGACCAGCCTGTCTGACCTGGCCCCAGGGTCTTGATGTCCTGCTCTCCTGGCCTGGAAAGTCAGAGGCTGCTGGGGTTTGGGAGTAGCTCTGGAGAGGGGAGTAAATGTCTCCATGGCCCAGGAACTGTTTGGACCAGCCCCCCAACCCCCCAGCCTGAGGGAAGTGCATGAGGCTCTCCAGCCATCTGGGAGCTTCAGGTCCGTGAGACAGGATCTGTCAGCTCCTGCTCCAGCTGCTCTGTCCCAGAAGGCTGGAGACTGTGGCTGCCAGTCCCGCTGGAAATTGTGTGGTTGGGGCAGGGGCCCCGGGGCAGGCGGGGGGTGGCAGCTCTGCGGGGGGTGGGCTGCTGCACTCGAACGGGAAGGGCATCAGAGCAAGCTGGGCTCAAGAGCAGGATACCCCTTCCCACGGGGTGGGGTGGTGACCCACAGCATCCCCCAGCTTCCTATCGAGGCATCTCATCGCACTGCCCCCTCTCCCTGCCCCTCTCCGCAGGGCTGCGCTGCGGCAGCGCGCTGTTCCGCCACGAGGTCGGGTACGTGCTGGGGCAGCTGCAGGACGAGGCGTGCGTCCCTCAGCTCACGGCCGTGCTGTGCAGCCCCTCCGAGAGCCCCATGGTGCGGCACGAGTGCGCCGAGGCGCTGGGGGCCATCGCGCGGCCGTCCTGCCTGCGCGCCCTGCGCGCCTTCGCCGGCGACGGGGAG